CCCCTTGAGCAAAATGCAGCCTGCAGGTTAATGATGACGTAACTATCATTCGACCCTTAAACAGCGGCACCTTAGTGAATATAAGAATTCGAATAATTAATATTAATGAATATTACACCTGCTCAATGAAGATCAGATGATTCATTACATTAATACATCTCACATAACTTGATAAAAAATCCACAAAGGGGAGAAAAAGATTAAGCCATCAATAGAAAGTAATACTGTGGTGAAAAGAGTAACAGTGACATAGTGGTCCAGTGGTCAGCACGATGCGTTACGACGCCACCGACCCGAGTTCGAATCTTACCCGAGTAATTTGAGTTGGGAATAGGTTATCTGACAAAATTCTTGCAGCGCCGCATTGAAGTATTTCAAATAAGTCAAGATCACACTGAGGACATACTAAAAACTGGACGACTCTACTAACAACGGTGACTTACTAATGATTGACCTACAAGAAGGGCACGCACTGAACACACACACACACACACACACTTATTAATGCAAACACACTGAACACATACACACATACAGTACAAACACAAAGACACTCGGACACATTCACACAAACAAACACACACAATGAACACACAGTCACAAATGCTCAGACATACACACACACGAACACACAGTGAACACACATACACTTACAGTTGTCTTACACACACAAACTCTCTCATACACTCTCACACCCAGTCACACAGATACACACACATGCGTAAAATCACACGCACACTCAAACAAACACACACTAAATGCACTAACACACAAACTCACACACACAATCAGTCGTACACAAACATCATACACACAAACTCACACACACAATCAGTCGTACACAAACATCATACACACAAACTCTCTCATACAGATTAACAAACTAACACACAGCCACACACACAATCTCTCTCTCACACATACTGTCACATAAATACGTTCTCTCTCTCTCACACACACACACACACACACACAAACACACAGTGATGTGGAGCCCCTTCTGATTGATCAGTGTGTGTGTCTGGACTGGTTTTGGTCCAGACTGAATTTTTAACTTCTTGGACGCCACACCAGTGCTGACCTGCACTTTCAGTCATTACTGTCACAACAGCAGCTAACACACACACACACACACACACACACACACACACACACACGTCCATCTGATCTGATCTGACCCTGCCCAACAGTTGATGGAGGATTGTAAAATATATTAAAAACAGAGATTTGCATATGTATCTACACGTTTAAAAGTGTTTATTTCTGATATTGGTCAAGATTAATGATTAAACAGCACTATTCTGATCATTTATGTGAGCAGTGCATTGTGTTTGATGATGAGATGTGTGTGTGACGTACCTTTTTGGCTTTGTTTTTCTTCTCGTACGTGTCCGACAGCGGCTTTTTCTTGGCTTGAAGGTTTGCTTTGGAGAACAGCTCCTCAAACTCTGTGGTGTTTATGATATCAGGCTCTTCCAGTGAACTCCAGAGTGTATTATTACTGTAAAACACACACACACATGCACACACACCCATGAGGAATAGATATGAAATGCTGTAGATAGGTCAGATAGCACGGCAAACTTAATGCTTGTTTAACGCTCATTTAGCATTCAACAAAGACTGAACATTCTTCATCAGCTGAGGAAGTGCAACCTCCCAAACAGCTCTACACCTCCACCATTAAATCAGTCATCAATAACTGTCTGGTTTAGCTCAGCTACCAAATCTGACCTTCGATGACTACGTTGAATAGTTCGGACTGCTGAGCGAATCACTGGCACAACCCTCCCTACTCTACAAGAACTCCGCTTATCCAGAGCGAGCAGAAGGGCAGCCAAAATCACTCTGGACCCCTCACACCCAGCACACTGCCTCTTTGAGCTGTTACCCTCTGGTCGACGCTACAGAGCACTGCGCACCAGAACAGCCCACACAGAAACAGTTTCTTCCCTCAGGCAATCCATCTCACCAACACAAGATGATGATAACTGTGGAACCAACATCACTACTTGCCGTACACTTTCATACACATATACACTTATTTAACAACACACTTTACATGCCAATTTGCACATAACAGCTGCACATATAACGCTGTATATAGTAATATACCTGCACATACACATGCCAATTTGTATATTTGCATTCACTATTCATTCATTTTCTTGTCGGCTTAGTCCCTTTATTAATCCGGGGTCGCCACAGCGGAATGAACCGCCAACTTATCCAGCAAGTTTTTACACAGTGGACGACCTTCCAGCCGCAACCCATCTCCGGGAAACATTCACACACACTCATACACTACGGACAATTTAGCCTACCCAATTCACCTGTACAGCATGTGTTTGGACTGTGGGGGGAAACCGGAGCACCCAGAGGAAACCCACGCAAACGCAGGGAGAACATGCAAACTCCACACAGAAACGCCAACTGAGTTGAGGCTCGAACCAGCGACCTTGTTGCACTACTTACTTCTATTTTAAAATATATTTATTATCTGTGTTTTATCCTGTCTCTGTAGGAGCTCTGTCACTAAAACAAATTCCTCGTATGTGTGAACATACCTGGCAATAAAGCTCTTTCTGATTCTGATTTGTAGTTATATTTATAACTTTGTATGTTCCAATTAAGTTTTTTTGCACTCGAGTCTGAGTCATTTGAATTTGAGTGTCTGTCGATACCGAATCCCGATATGATACTTCTATAATACATAAAATAAATTTAAAAAGCGAAGAAACAGGTCCAGGATGTGCCTCAGTTTTTATTTGATTCAACTTATTTAAACATTCAACAACTCTGTCAGCAAACAGAGCACTTCTGTGAGTAGCTTGAACAGGGTATATACAGAACTCAGTGTTTCCCCTGGGATGTTTTCCAGCTGCGGCGGCAGGCCTTTTACACAGATCTACCTATGGCGTTATTTCAATGACAAATGGAGAAATGTTGTGAGCGCAGTATTACAACTCGAGATCGTATTTATGTAATACTGTAACATCCTGGTTTCTGTTTTTGTTTATTCATTATTCATTTTCTTGTCGGCTTAGTCCCTTTATTAATCCGGGGTCGCCACAGCAGAATGAACCGCCAACTTATCTAGCAAATTTTTACGCAGCGAATGCCCTTCCAGCTGCAACCCATCTCTGAGAAACATCCACACACACTCATTCAAACACACACACACACACACACACTACGGACAATTTAGCATACCCAATGCCCCTGTACCTCATGTGTTTGGACTGTGGGGAAAACCGGAGCACCAGGATGAAACCCACACGAATGCAGGGAGAACATGCAAACTCCACACAGAAACGCAAACTGAGCCGAGGCTCGAACCAGCGACCCAGCGACCTTCTTGTTGTGAGGCGAACGTGCTACCCACTGCGCCACTGTGTCGCCTTCTGTTTTTGTATGTTTCAGTTTTGTGTTTTCATGTCACTTCCTGCTCACCTTAGTTTACCCTTAATCTTGTTAGCCTTTGAGTTAATAGTCTCCACCCCCAGTCAGCTTGTTTAGTTAACTGTTTCCTTGTGTAACCCTGTTCTGTTAGCACTTCGTTGTCATTAGTTTTGGTCACTCCTATGATGTCTGCGTTTCTCTGTTCCTTTGCTTTGTGTTAGTTTGTTTAAATAAATGTTTGTTTTTTCTGCATCTGGATCCGCATCTTTGATTATTCCCTGCTTTAAGTCAGACTTGACAAATACGAGCATGCACATCTCTTTGCTTGCGCGCCAATTTCCTCTGCTTGTGCACAAAACTTCTTGCACACCCCCTCAAATATACGTTGCTCAAGCGCAGATCTTCTTGTGCGCTCTCAAATAAACACTGCTGTGTTTAGTGCGTTCATGTAGTGAGTATGTCTCCAACATTTATTTGATTTCCTGGGAATATTTATGGATGTCTCTAACAGACCTACAGAGCGGCATTACTGCGTCCTGGAGTAAAGTGAAACAGCTATAAACTCCAGCCAGATAAAGTGATTATACGCAAAACCACAGACCTTTATCTATAAATGTAGTATAATTATAGAAACTGTGTTCATCTTAACTAAAATCTACATCGTGTTTGCTGATCTCACGCATCACCAGTGGTGTAAAGTAACTAATCACAAACTTCACAAATTGCTGTAATTGAGTAGTTTTTCTCAGGAATTGTAATTTACAAAGTATTTTCTATAAATGTGCACTTTTACTTTCCCTTGAGTACATGTTTAGTGCAGTATCGGTACTTTTACTCCACCATTTTCCTTCATTCTGCAGTCACTACTGATTTATTTCTTGTCTACGGAGATTAGAAAAATCAGTCCTGTGATTCCTGCAGTGGTGTAAAGTACTTAAGTAAATGGACTTCGCTACTTTACTTTTTTTTTTTTGGCTACTTTGTACTTGTACTGAGTATTAAAATATAAGCAACTTTTACTCTCTACTTGACTACATTTTTGATTGAATATATGAACTCTTAATTCCACTACATTTGCACGGACGCTTATTGTTACTCATTTCATTGTGATTGTGTCTGACAAGTCGGCATCTTTATCTACCACGGACAATTTGTTGGACGGACTAGGCGATATCACCATCTGCAGGGTGTTGAAGGTACTGTATGCTATTTATGAGCTAAATCACATGAACATGAATTATCAGCTAATGGCCATCGACATGACCACATTGAAATGGTCTATTCAGAGAAAATACCCTAATCAATTGAAAAACTACTCAAAATAAAAATATTGCCCCCCACTGAGACTGAGAGGTGAATCACATGAAATCAGCTCTGATTTTTGTTTTTTACTATGTTGTACTATATTACTATTTTTTTTTTTTTTTGGGGGGGGGATTATTTGTGACTTTTTTGAATATTTGAGTTTGAGACTTTTTGTTCTATTTTTGTATCTATTTTGTTCTGCCATATTGAAACATTGAGGTGTTAAATTTAATGTCTATATTCGGAAATAAAACCTCTCTTGGTGTTCTTTGAGCTTACATTCAGTATGAGTAAAAAACTTCAGTTCTTTTAAAATCGGATACTTAAATACTTTTACTCAAGTCTTAATGGAATTGGTGACGTGTAACTTGTAATGGAGTAATTTTTACAGTAAGGTATCTTACACCTCTGGATTCCTGTCTAATCAAATCACACATAGAAGGTATATGTGTATATACATAGAATATACACTCATAGTAGCTGTGCCGATAGATTCTGTGTTGACATCGTGGCTCTGTTACCAAACTACCACCAGTGTTGCCAGATATAGGGGCCCTTTATAGGATTGCTGTCTAAAACCCGCCCAAACGCACAAAAAACGTCCAAAATACTAGACTAATTTTTACAAATATTAAACTAGTTACTTTAACTGTCATAATTGGTAACAATACAGCAACCTACACTGGCAACACAACCAGATCCTATTGAAACACCGCCCCCCTCTCACCCACACACTGCACTTATTGCTGTGTAGATTACTCTACAGGGCTCGACAATAAGGACTGCCCGATGGCCCGGGCCAGTGTGCGAGACACTCGGGCCAGTGGACAGAATGTTACTGGCCCAATCGGGCCAGTGCTGCCTTTTTGCCTGCCAGATCGAATAAATCTGTCCGAGACTGCCTGAATGAGACGATCTCTGTCCTATTGAGCGGATCGATTGCAGCGAGAAAACAAAACAATGCAACGAACTAACCACCCAGGCTATATCACAGTGTATTATGATTGTGTAATAGCCATATATACGGCTATATGAAGAGAGAATGATGAGCAGGGCGAGATGTCATTCTTACCGGTAAATGCGAAAGTGAAAGCATGCTGAAATATTACCCAGAGCTGTTTATCCAGCCTGATCTCGGTTTATCCGTCAGGAAAATTGACAGAAGTTAATATCTGATCATTTTTTCCATGTTTTAATCATATAATATGTTGCGTTAGGCCAGTTGTTTTCTTCATTTCTGCACTGACAGTTCGAAAGAAAGATCAACATTGATCTGCTTCGCGACCTGATGCAGTCTCGGTTCATCTGCTATGTCTCTCTATAATTTAAGCCTAAAATACAGAATTATAGTCAACGTTTCTTTAATAGATTGATTAATTCAATAGATAGATATCTACAAAACCTGACAATTGAAATGAGGCTCTGTATGAGAAAGTCTGACCTCGATTTGTATGTGGTGACGATGTCTGTGGGTTGTTAAAATTGAACTGCACATTTTCACTCATAAAATATTCTATACACAACTGGTCAAAAGTTTGGGGTAAGTATGATTGTTATATATGTTAAAATAGGCTTCTTCTGCTCACCAAGGCTGCAATTATTTCATCATAAATACAAATTGTGAAAGGTTGCACTATAAAATAACTGTTCAAAAGTAGTTTATCATTTAATTTATTCATTTATTCCAGTGATTTTAAAGATGAAAGTTCAGCTTCATTACTCCAGTCACATGATCCTTCAGAAATTACTAATATTAATTATTATTATATTTATTTATGGTAATAGTAGTCAAAT